GGATGTTGATCTCCGCTGGCCATGCCAAGGGAAATTTTAGCGCGGCTCGCGCGAAGGTCGCACACGCACTCCTTTTTTTTTTTCCAGCCTGAGCACGCGGCAAAAACGGATAACAGGAATGGCCATTTGCATGGCGAAACTCCGCGGCCCATGGAATGTGGAGAAAGAGGAAGGGCCGCATATGCCGGAAAATTTTGGAGAACCTCCGCGAGCCGATTTGGAAAATCAAAAAAGAGGTCGGGCCAATTGTTTACCTTTTTTCTTGCTTCTTCTAGTGGGCGTAGAAATAGCAAAGTCGGTTAGCCTTTGCCTCAGTTTGGAACACCCTCTGTTCAGGAGAAGACTGCAACTAGTGTCGCGACCACCAGCGCAAGTATAAATAGTTACGGCGCTCCCGTGACGTCACATTGTTGCGTGACAGGTCGGGAATGGCGAGTCTACATGATGCTTAAAGGGCCGCTGTTAATGGAGGTTACGTCATCCCATTTGAACCCAGGCACATGCTAATTACATTGCCTCTGAGCAGGCCCCTCAGCTCATCACGCAGGGCTACCTGAGTGTAGGCTGGGTGACTGACAATCAGCAGGCAGCACTGTTTTATAATAGGTACGTGCTTTTGGCTCCCACAAAACCCAGAGGACCGTGAGAGGGCCCGAGGTTTAAGGAGGCTGCTTTGGAAAGGAAATGATAAGGGCTTGGAGCAGAGATAAAGCCATACAAAGAGTAAAAGACAGAATGACAGACAGAGACATGTTTGTTCAAATGGCCCAGAGCATAAGCAGGACATTAAGGACAGTTGCATAAGCTACTTCAACTGCACATCCCATACTTCAGGCTTCGAGCAGGAGGGCTGATATAATGTGAGCAGAGAGATGAAAAGAAAAAAAGACGACACTAGGAGCAGAGGATGTCCTTTCATTTCAGAAACTCACAGGGGTGAGTAAAGCTGAGGATGACAGAAAGTTCTGGAGAGATTAGAGCCAAAAGTTTCAGTGACTACAACCATAGGACCATCATGTTTCTACTTCTTTTAGTTCAGCCTCAAAACAGACTGGCTGTGCACTATGAGGAAGGTTTACACTATGAAAATGCTCAGTAAGTAAGTAACCAAGGCTTGCACGGTACCAGAACTTTAAACTTTGATACATACTCAATACCTTGATACCATGGCAAAAAGGAAAAACAAGTCTTACACACACAAAAATGGGGTTTCCTGTTTTTTTCCCCAATTTTCTTCCCCTTTGTTTCCTCTGTGCAGCTTTGGGGTTTTTTATAGCTTCAGTATTCACATAGTATCAAACATATAATTAATGTAGATCGTATCATGTTAAATACGTCGTATAGAAGATAGAGGAAGAAGTTACTTTTGATAACCTTAGCTCAAGGTCTGATATCACTATCTAACACTGAGCTGTTTGTCTGGTTGGAGGTGATGCAAAACATATGCAAAATATGCAAACACTTCCCTCTGTTCCTTTAATATTAGAGGTGATACAGATATTACAACCTCACCACCATACTCCCTAAGGGACAGAGCAACCACAGACGTGTGTGTACCTGCATGAATAAGGGTGTGTTCATCTGTATATAAGATTTTACATATCGCCTGTGCTTGCCTTAGGCGGTGACGGCACAGTGACTCTGGAGGGCACAGGGACACAACAGGTGCATTTCATGCAAATATCCAAAATGCTTGAATCTCATTCATCTGTCCACGCGTGATTGGAAATGATCTTTACACACTGCAGTAGATCAAAGCGTTTTTTTTGTGGTGGTCAGTGTAAAAAGTTTGAGAAACAGACCTACAGAAATTAAAAATGTCAAACTTCCTTTGAGCTGATGGGCACATCATAACTGATCACTTCCTCCCTCCATCCCTCACATTAGATCAGCTTCTCTTGTCCTGTCCTGTCACGTTTTAGCCCTCACTCCGCTGGCACAGACATCCAGCCACTGGTTCAGAAATAGCTGCCGAGTCTCTGTCTAATCTGCCTCGACAAGGCCCGATTACATAACCTGATGCTGTTGGGCGGGAGTGAATGTGACCCGGGCTCAATCACACACACAAGTCAATTAATTGGTGATGATGTGGAGGAGATTTTGGCTGTTTGTTAAACAAATTCTGGGGGGATTTACGTTGGGCAGCTGTGTTCTGTGACATAATCATGCCAGGCCAATCCCTCCCCCCACTAATTATACTAATATTGCTAATAATGCTAATAGATCTCATCTCTTACTCAATGCAATGTGTTGCAGGAAGGCTTTAAATGTGCAGTATGTCATTTCTGCTGCTCGGGGGTCGGTCTCTCACATAAAAAAAAAAGACGATGTCATGACGTACTGTGGGATCATGGGAGTTGCTGTCTTCACTGTTAAACAACCATCAACCATTGTTAAAATAATTTCAGAAACTCTATAAAGACCTTTACTGAGAGTAGGTGATTTGTTAATTTTTAACAAGTGGGATGGCCCAATTGGAGCAGGCTAGCAATGAAAAGACCAGATATTTCTGTAAGTTTCCTGGCCCACTAAACCAGTGCCATGAAGGCTACTAAAGCTGCACCAGTTCAAATAGGAATGCTCTGTTGAAATGTAATAATTCTCAGTAATTACTGGGTTATATGTAGGGCTGCAGGATATGGTAAAAACATCATATTGCAATTATTTTGACAGATATTGCGGGAATGATTATCTTGCATAACAAGTTACATTTTCACTGAAAAAACGATTAAAATCATGACGATATGAAATCTGTTGGGTCTGTACCAAACAAACATGTTTTCTTACTTCTGGAGAACAAGATTTATAAGCCAGGGCACGGGAACAGGGAACATTCATTTCACTGAGCCACTGCTAATTTCTGAATCTGTCAGACAAAATAAATGATTATCTCTCCTCCACATCAGTTACCCTTACAGCATTACACTTTGGACTGTTATTGCTGCTAGCAGTGACTCTCATGACTGCTGTGAGTCCTTCAGCTTCAGACATCTGAAGTCATTCTGGGGAACCTCCAACCTGGATATTTCTGCTGCAACAGGGAGAGGTCGTGACTAGGTGGCTTCATTACACACACCACTGGTTTCATTCACTATATTCACTGTTCTGTGCAGTCGCACTGGGTGTTCAACTTAATGGCATGTACTGCTGGGGGGCAGGGGATTAAAAGATGTAGCAGAGGAGGGAAAGAAAGGAAGTAGAGAGGATGAAAAAATGAGACATCAGAGACCAAGGCAACAAGGAGATCATTCAATCCATTCAATCCAACCTCTGGTTCAGAACAAATCAACACAGTATGGAGGGCGGCAGTGAGGGAGAGTATGACAAGAGGTAGCTTATTTGACATCGGTCATGCTTTGTTTACGCAGCCTTATCACACAGGCCAGAGGTCAGTGGATGAGCTGGAACTCAATCAGTGAAAGATCAAAGTCCAGTTAACAAGCCACCAAAAGCACACACACACACACACAGACACACAGACACACACACACTTTTCGTAGACATGATCAGCCAACTAAATGCCCTCATGTGTTTTGTTCACCATTTGAAAAAAAAAAAAAAGAGAGATATAACATAACCTACAGGGTAGGTTATGTTATATCAAGTAGAGGTTCTATTTCACACAGCAAAGCAAGGCATTATGGTTTTTTTATTTTATTTTTATTTTTGGGGGGGGCTCTTTATTGCCTTTTTTTGTATGACAGAGACAGACAGGAAAGGGGGACAGAGAGAGAGGGGATGACACGCAGCAAAGGGCCGCAGGTCGGATTCGAACCCTGGGCCGCTGCAGCAAGGACTCAGCCTCGGTACATGGGTCGCCAGCTCTACCCACTGAGGTAACCGGG